TATTCGTAAAGAAAATTGCAATGTCAGGGAGTATACGATTTTTATATTATCATATATATGTATACACTACTCTTTTTTAAATCGTTTCTATATATATAACACGAATAATTTCTGTTGACAATTACTGTATGAGGATGGCTCGAAAAGGAATTGAAACATTAAATTAAAGGATTTTTATGAAAATTTTAATTCTTTTTATTCGCGCTCTGTTTTCTGCGTTAGGCTCTTATTAGCCTATTTTTCTCTTTGTGTTGTATGCTATATATTAGAGCCTTTTCTTATTTTTATTGTTTTTATATATTTGTTACATGAGAATAGAAAGATTCTTTTTAGTTAAGCGCGGATGCTTATCATGGAAATTTTCGCGATACAATGGGTCGACAAATTTATTCTTGACGAGGTCGAACTTACTGATCGATAGCGGTAATAGTGCGCAAATTATCATGTTCCAGTTCATTTAACGTTTGCTCCAATCTCTTGTTGCTCATCTCCTTCTGACGCAAGTTCTCCTCTAAGCTTTGAATTTTAATTTTACATTCGGTCTCGTGCACTTTAGCGGTCGTGGCTTGATTCATCAGAGAGTCGTATTGTTTCGCCATCGCATTGTATTTGACTTGTAATTGAACGCTCTCGACCTGATTTTTCGTTTGCTGTTGCTGTAATTCGTTCACTGCATTCATAGCCGCTTTCAATTGCATTTTTAGTTCGTGAGAAACTCTACGCTCTTTTTCGAGTTCTGACTCCGTATTGTATAAAGCGTGATGAGTTTCCAGAAGTTCCTTTTGCATCACCCGCAGGGTATCCTGCACTCTCGAAACATGCGAAATATAATTTATATGAGATAGCCTAGGGTAAATTGCTGGATTCATACTTGAATAAGCAATCGCAGAAAGAGCTTATTTCATAAAAAGATATATAATAATTTTCGCGCGTGTATAACTGCTTGTTAATTATTAAGAATTCCATTTCGAAAGTTTTTCAAAAAATTAAATATGTTCAGCATATTTGGATATTTGAAAATTCCAAATTACAGAATAATTTTCTTTAAAACAAAAAATTCATTACTCTTTTTTTAACATTGGTTTGTAAAAAAATTTATTCAAATATGCTTTTTGATTTAATTCGCGCGTTTTTTTTGTTATAATTTAGATTTCTTTGAATATATCCAGATATTTTGCAATATCTACATTTCTATATATGCATATATTGTCGTTATCTTTTACGTTATTTAAAGAGAAAATGAAATTCTACAGCTAATACAGGCTCGCGTAAAAGGCTAAGGGTACGTATCAAGTGTTAATCAATATAACAGTCGTATTCACCGTATTATTTTGCAGCTCGTATAGCTTTTCTCCAAACTGTCGTTCTAATTGAGAGATTTCTTGTATATTCGATGTCTTCGTATCATCATCCATGATTGCAATTATTATTATCGTCTGAAAACGTAATTAATTGTTAACTAACGTAGAATCTGAAGAATACTCTACTTTAATTTTCACGTTAGTAACCAACTTCAACTTAAAGGACGCAGATGGAAGGTTTTAGATAACTTTCAAGGATTTGTATAATAAATTGTAATTGCATAAAATTGTAATTACCAAATATGAAATATGAATGGAGATCTACACGGGAAATTTGCGATTTTTTAAAATAGTATGTGATGTTTTCAAATTTTATAAATTTTAATCGCATTTGTATTTTATTGTTCACTTTATTTTTATTTTTATCTCTAAAGTACTCGAATAGAGTGTATATGAATATCTCTTAATTCTCCATTCTTTCTCTTTCACTCTCTTTCTCTTTCTTTCTTATAAATTCTCTGTACCGTTGTAGATTTTTAAAAAGAAATAGAAAGATAGGTCACATAGATACTTAAAATGGGAACAAAATGATTCCGATCTCTCGTAATAACACTTCTATATAGGGTGCCTCATTTTTTTCTATGCTTTTTACATTTATAATCAACAGTCAAGAATCTTTCATTAAAATTGAATGCGTTAATGTAATAAATCTCTCGATATATTTTGAGTCATTTAACTTTATGATCTGGAGATTCATAAATTTTAATTTAACCGAAGACTATTTAATGTTTATTGTATCATTTAGATTGTGTATAATAAATATATTAAATAATTAATATTACATATGTATAATAAATAATATTATTAAAGGTAAAGATTGCTTAAGAGACTATATGTAATGGTTACTCTAACTAAAGAGAATTCTTCTATTTATCATAAATGTTATAAATGCACTAAACGCATTATCACCCGGTATATTCACAGAATTACAGATGTGGCGCATGGACCAAATGGAGTTCGGATGTAAAAGCGGTAGCGACAGGGAGAGGAAGAGAAACAGAGAAAAGGTACAGGGGTGGATCGCATGCGCATCCCTCGGAATAGCGAGTCTCGGCTACCCCCGCCGATTATGGATGTTTAGTATCGACGTCGTTGCTAGTGTGTCGTTGCTCGCTCTCTCACTCTTCTGCAGATTGCAGATTCCAAATTTATAATTGTGTTTACAGTGCGACGAAAATATTCGTGACGTTTGGAACGAGAGATAATGAACGAAATCGCGAGACGGATGTCGGATTATATCGCGGATACGCTATTATGCGTCCGTCTCGCTATCACGCTACATTAGCACCTTTCGTCATCATTAATCATGGTCCTGCGTGATCGCGATCTACCAGGACACGAGCAACATGCCGAGCGACAATTATTCGCGAAAGACGCGTGCACGTGTCGCGGTGATAGTGATTATGACATTGCTTCTGCTGAATATCAAGTGCATAGGTGAATATGTATCTTATACGCAATATTCTGACTTGAATCCTATAAAATCAATTTGCTCCAAGAAAATTAGAGAGATATTAAAGAATCAAGCTAAAGACGATTAATTAAAAGAATTAAAAAATATATATAGAATATTTTCGGATGTATGTTTAGCATCATGTAATTAATTTTAATTTATAATTCGCTTCATATTATTTTATATATGAAAAGTTCATATATACAATTTCCTACTGATTTAGTTATCTTATAGGGCAACATTGAAGGGGTAGCACGTGCTACCCCTTGCTTTATGGTTCAACCGCGCGTGGACTATTGACAACATAACCGGTTGTTTCGCGGTGCGTGCCACGCGATCTCAAGTCGGATCGATCTTTATAATTCGGCGTTCATCGCGCAAGCCGCTGTAAAATGTGATCGATCTTCGGATGCTGTTGCGAGGGTGTGCGCGAGCGTGCGCGCACTGAAAGGCATAGTTTCAAATTCTTCGATTACTTATTGTGTATAGTTGCAGATACCGCCAAGAGCTTGCACCAATGCACATTAGAAGGCCTTCACCCCTTCCTTATCGTTACTCATAAAGAGTTCACTATATCTGTAAGTAATATACTTTTGTATTTTTCATCTTTTATTTATTGAGATCATGAAATTATTAATAATTTTTTATAAGTGTTTGTGTGTGATGATAACAAGGAAGTAAATTTAAAAATATAACGCATAAATTTAAGATCATCTGAAGAGAGCATATTTTTTTAAAAATATTGTCATAAATATTGCATATTAGATATGTTTTTAATCATTATCATTAGTCAATTATTATTTCAAGCGGTTTATATTTGCCAAAAAGAATACTTAATTATAATAAAAGAAAATATGATTTTTCTTTATTCTAAGTATTTTAAATTTATTATTTTAAAGATGGGAAGAATTTTAATATAACTCTTATAGTTTTCTGAGAATCATAACGAATTTTCCAACGAAAAATAATACAATAGAAAACAAATGTTATAGGCAGACAAGATTACCGTATCTCACAACGAACGAATCACGGTGAGATGTCGAGAATTAGGTAAATACAAACTCATCGGCGATCATTTATTACATTGCCGCAATGGTACATGGACCGGAAAGACACCTTATTGCGTGCCTACCACGGCCATTTCTAATTACAGTGGTACGTTGTAGTTATTATCGCGACCGTATTTAAGATTCATATAACACAAAGATCCGCAAAAACGTCTAATAAGTTCTCTTAACTATTCAAAAATATTATAACATTGTTAATCGGTCTCTAATCATAGAAAATATTATTAATAAATATTATGGTATTATTATTATTAATAAATATTATGATTCTTTAAACGTCTTTTGACACATTTCGTGGATTTTTACGTGGTATCTTTAGAGAGGGCGACAGCCTTTGACAAATCTTTCTTTCTTATTTCGATCTTAACAGAAAATGTACCACCGACCATCGTTTTCGGTCTACCAGCCGGTTCGGCCGCCGTAGATCCAATTGGTGCACTTGCTATCTTCCCAGGAAGTATTTTGCACTTGGAATGCCTCTTTTCGAGAAAATTAGGCAATCCTGAATGGACATGGACCTCAACTTTTCGCCGATATCTGACAGGTAAATCGTGAGAGCTAAAAATTGTCGTGAAAATTAAAAAAAGAAAACGAAATCTTAAATTTTTATATTATTGATTATAAAATTTATTTATGTACGAATCTTTCTAAACTATTTTTTTAATTTTACTATTAAAAGAAAGATAAGAAAATATAACTATCTCGAGCAATTTCGCTTAATCATCATGTACTATTTGTATTTTATTTACGTATTTCTCTAGGATGGGCAATCGCTGCACGGGAAAGAAACTGGAAGTATCGCCTCTCGATATACTATGCTAAACATCATGATTCCGGGGTTTACACGTGCTCCACGCCCAAAGGATTATCCAATTCTATACAAGTTCGTGTCATAGGTACGGTCACAAAGTTACACTGCGTTTTGAAAAGAAAATATATTGACAAAAATTTTTGTCAATATAGTATATGCTCCTTAAAACTTGTGGCATTAACATTGATCGTATTCATCAGGAGACAATAAAGTTTTCCAACTATCTTATAATTTCAATTTTATCGATTTGCAGATGTTCAGTGTTCGGTATTGGCCGTCCCTGAACCACCGTTGATCAGTCGCATCGGGGGTAACCGAATAGGAGACAATGCAATTTTCGAGTGTCCAATGGGTTACAGATTAGAGGGTGCTTCCGGTATTACGTGTCAATACAACGGTACGAAGCGAACGTACTTTCTTTCGATGAATATAATTAGATATGAAATTAGGAAAAATGTTCTTTTTACAGGCAAATGGTCAACGAATGTGCCACATTGCGAAGAAATCGAGTGTCCAGCGATAAATATCACGGACAACCCATTGTTGACTTTGATCGAGCACAATAATACTTATGGCGGAAAAGTTGTTTTCACTTGTATGTGGGGATATAAGCTCTCTGGGTCGCAGAGTATAAGATGCGAAGGAAATGGCAGATGGAATGGATCTATACCAATTTGTCTCGGTAAAAGTCGTTTAGACAGTCATTACGATCAATTTTATTTTTGAAAAACTATTTTTTATATTATTCTTCTAAACATGTTTTATTTAAAAATATTACTCTTAAATGTGTCTTCTTAAAATACTGCAAGATTCTAATTTTGTAAGCATCCGAATTCTAAATATTAAATGTTTGATTCAAACATCCTGTTTGAAAGAGAATACTTCTTAATTAAAAATATAATTCTATAAAAAATAATTTTTTCAGTTTCAGTGGATTTCAGTCGTTCTTATTATTATATTATAATCCATTTCATTGAATCTTGTCAGAGATAATGTAGATAAAAAAGAACAACGTTTGCAGAAATCACTTGTCCAATACCGGAAGCGCCACGAAGCGGGCGCATCATCGAGCAAATGCGATACTCTAACAAGAAGCAGTATCGCGCCCAAATATATAAAGTTGGCGCCCTATTGAGATTCGCTTGTCTACCAGGTCATCAACTGATAGGAGAAGCGTCCATCATATGCACCGAAAACGGCACCTGGTCTCACCGTCCACCCGTATGTGAGTGCCCTTGCGACTAAGCTTTTTAACACTTTAAGTGCCACTAATGATTTATAAATGTAGCATCAATTAAAAAATTTGTCTATTATATTATTTATAAAAAATTGTGCCAATATTATTTTTCGAAAAATAATGGCATTATAGAAATTAATGTAATATTATTTTTTATATATAACACTTTGTTGAAAGTTATTAAGATTTTTAAACGATAAATATTAATCGGTCGTGTGCAATATTCTAGGTAAAGTAAGGTGTCCTTATCCTGGTGATCCTCCTCATGGTCGAATCGCGCCTCTTAAGTTTTGGTATAAACCAGGAGACAACATACAGGTAAATTCCACATTTAGCAGTAATTGTAGATCAAGATATAAATAGTGGTTAACTGAAGTTTCGAAAATGAACTGTTGGAGCATAATTCTGCGATTTACATGGACAGGTAACATGTTCGCCTGGCTATGTGACTCCCCTGGAACCAGTGAAGAAACCATCGTGTCGGGAAAACGGCATTTGGAGTGCACCACCGCCTCCCTGTCGATCTTACAAAGAAGTGTGAACGTGAAAAAAGATTGCCGAGTCCTCTTATGAGTTTTACGGTCTATCGTGTTATTTTATCTTTCAACGAGGAAGCATATCTGATATTCATTACGAGTAGCTGAATAAGAGAAACGAGGAGACTCGCGTGAAACATTCGCTTTGTTTCGAATGATAGACATGCTATGTAAAATTAATGATCTTATCAGATGATGAATATAGCTGCAGTCATATGAACCGACAAATAATCACGAATAGATCACTGGAAGGAAGCATCTTGCGTTAAACGTAGGCCACGAAACGACCAGTATTTTATTTATAATTCTCTTCCAGATATACAACGATTTTAATAAAAATAAATCCCTTTTTAATAATACACTCTTAATAAATATTTTTTCACAATTATTTCTGTTTAATATTTTGAAGTGTAATACTGTATTTTACATCTTTCTCTCTCTATAGATACTAAATGAATACTAAAACGTTAGCGACTGATATAGTTACCGCTGTCGTTGCCATAATAACTGGAATGCAACGCGCAATTAATCCAATCATTCCAATCGGATAATGACAATTAGTTCGCGTGCACATGATGTGACAGTCAATATTCGATGTTGCAATCCATCAAAGGTCAAGGAACATCGGCGAAATGGGTCGAACAAAAGCTCCCAAAGAGATACAAGTAGAAACGTGGCTTACCAGGGACAAAATAAGTCGATATCGTCCAATTCTGAAGTTACATGGTTAGGAATAATTAAAGTTTATTGACTTTCTTATACGAATCGAAATAAAAATATATCTTCTATTTCTAACTGAATGAGAAACGATAAGTGAATTATTATAGAAGAGGCTTTATTCTAGTACACCCTCTTAGTAATGCAATTTTAATTCTTAAAAAATAGATTATATATAATTTTATAAAACACAGAGATTTTAGAGAAATAAAATTATTGTGGTGTTATACTATTTCCATATAAATCGCCATATAATTCTTTTTAACACAAATAAAATAGAAAATCTGTATAAAAAAGACACAGATCTTTTTTTATACAGGGTACTTTCAATATTTTACAATATAAAATATGAAGCCCTTTTCACATGATGAGATCACGATACAGTTGACCTAATTATTATTTTCTGGTTATATCTGAATGTATCTAATTCCGTGATCCAGCACGCGACAAGAAGCTGCAGTTGTCGCAAGCTACGAAATTGAAATCAATAGTCTCGAAGAAGATCGCGTCTCTGGAAGTAGATGTTAAAAGACATCGCGAAATCATCACTGACTTGAGCGATGACGGTAAACGACGTATACTCGGATCGTTGGCTGACCACAGATTATTTTATTTGGCGTTTAAACATCTGAAATCATCCGTAAGGATAGATCAATATTGTCTTTGAATCTTAGAAATAATTCTAAATTTTGTTGAGGAATTCGCTAAAGATATCTTTGGAACGCGCACTATAATATGCAAATATCTCGTCTCACAGCAAATTTACGCGGCAGTATGTCAAGATTGCAATGTGAAACGTCGTCTCTTGGACAAACTCTACCACGAAAGAAATAAAAGATTGCGACAAGGTATCGAACTACAGGTAAAACTTGATCCTTACACAGCATAATCCGTTACGCGTACCGTAACGTAATTATATGGTACATTTAGTAATAGCTAGTAAAGCTATATCTATGTACTTAATAAATTTTGTATACATTTCGCGCAAACTTTGAGCTATAAATTAAAGATTTATTCGTTTGCTTTCGCGGATAAGTCGAAACGCTGTGTTCTTTCAACCGAGCTCGAGGAGCAGAGCGAGGAATTACCGCACTGCGAGCAACAAAAATTGATAGCGAGATTACAGCAATCCATCACAAAATATGACGCGGCGAAAGCGATATATTCTACGTACTGCTCAATGTTAGATATCTTGAGAAAGGTAAATCTTCAATTTTGTGTTACGTCCTTAAATATACGTTCTTCTCTTTCTTCGGAATCTTTATAGGACACAATATTCTTCGATACCCTATTGAATATTTTAAAAGAAGATCAATCTTCCCAATGTAAAGCGATGTTGAGGGTGACGGTGATGGGTCAGCTAGCAGCTGAGAATCTAGATGACGTTAGACAGAAATATAAAAGAATGACTCGTGCCGTTTTACGTAATATGAAAGTTAGAGAGCAAATGTTGAGTACCGTGCGCTATCAAGTAGAGGATTTGTGGGCTTACGCGCAGTCATTGGTTCGCATTGAAGTGAGTGATTACAAATAAAATTGTGATCGCAAAGATCTGTTAATTTTTTTCTATCGTAAAAATTATGAAAAGAGAGATGACGCCTCCGCAATATTATATATAAAACTTTGAAGAAGAAACTTTCTCTAAATTAGTTAACGAATTTATCCCTATAAATTAAATTTCGCACAATGCATCCTCTGTGTACAGTCTTTCTAGCTATTGAATTTAAATATACATTTGTTTCAATAATGGCTTACGACGAATATTCTTAATAGAGTGTTTTCTTATTCATGATAATTTACAGAGCGACCACATTTTTGCGAAAAAAGATACCGATGTATCTGCCGACGCAATATTAGAAAATCAGTTAACACATTTGAAAAATATCTGCACTAAAGTAAAAGAAACTCTACTCGTGCGTTCTTATTATGACTTATTATCAAGGTATTTTAAATATCTTGTAAAAAAAACTTGCTTAAAAAACATATTTATATACATTTCCTTTATAGTTGTTATAAAATGTATTTTCTTCCTGTAATTAGACTTGAAATCCAATACGAACAGAAGAGAGCTTTGCTGGCGCGATTAGAGGCTAATATAAAAAATCGCGATCTTTTGTTGAACAAGAAGAATCATGCTCTACACGTTCTCGAGAATCTCAAACATTCTACAAAAACTACAACAGAACAGTAATTAATACATAGAGTAAAATATTGAGCAGAATATAATAAGAAATAAATTTATAATCTATCTAAAGTTATCAATATTCCTAATATATAAACGTATCTTTATCGTTTTATTTTATTATATATTTTTCAATGGATCACAAACTCTTAGCTATAAAATCAACGGTATACACGATATGCTGGAACAAATCGAGACTGAAAAGAAACGTGAGGAGGATCTTAAAGAACAAAAGAAAACTCGCGGCGAATTGTTCACGAATATCAGAGCAGCTTTACAGAATATAAACACGATGTTGCTTTGTATCAAATATAGTACCAAAGTTGCAAAGAAGCTACCCAGAGACGGGAATAAGGCGGGACTAAAAGAAAGTACAATTATGAACGAGAGGGAAGATGCGGAAGAACGTGATATGTTACTGGAACTCGAAGGAATAGACACCGATGGTAAAAAAAATATATAATTATAAAAAAAAATTAAACATGAATTCTTTCTTCCTTCGTTTAATTTTTCTGTTCGTTGAAACATCAAGTTACCGATAAAGAAGACCAATTAATTCATTGATTTTGCAGTTTTGGTGCTATTATCGAAAATCAGCCGGAAAATAAGCATTCTCTTCGGTATGAGTAATTTTAATCTTGAGCAGGAAAAGGCAGACAGAGCGCGGGATCTCTATCAAACTTATGTATCTAATTATAATTCCAATTTGATATTTGGAACCGGTAAAGAAGAACCGATTGGTAAATATTATTATTATTATTATTATATATTTTACACATTTTTGTCTAACATACCAATAATCTCTTATTGATGGACTTTATACAAATCACATTTTACAGGACTATTGGTTGAACATGAGACAGTCGACATCACCATTCCGACGCGGGCAGACATCAAACTCCGTAGCAGGCAAATTATAGAAACACATGTGAAACTGGAATAGCTTATCGTGCCAGATCTATCATAATAAAACGTAATAATTTAAAATGGTTTTTATTTATTAACAATATTGTATTTACCTTTTTATATCAATCTAGTATTCCCTGATATCATTAATACGACCTTGTCCCCTCTCCTTCTTTGTTATTTCGAATCTCAACCAGGAAGGCCTGTATTTATCGGAGCGATGAGCCAATGGGAATTTCAGTGGTGGCTCTGACCCATCAAAAGGATGAACTTTCTTCAACTTTCTTAATAAAAACTCCTTCCTTATCTTCTTGGGATCACGATATTTGTCCAAATAGAGATTGAAAGGTTCTTTTAAGGGAAACCATACCTGTTTTTTAATGTATGGTTTAGGAAAATCATACTGAAATATTGGCAATTTCGTTTTTAATGTGTTGTAATAGAATTCTTTGAGGGAGGAGTCCCAATCTGATTGGAAAAATACTAAACCAGCAGGCGTCATTTGATCCTGATGTTTTCTATAAAATTCCAGTGTTTTCCAATTGCGTTCTTCCAGATTTAAACAGGGCTTTGTTCTTTTATATTCTGAGAAATCTATGTGACAGTCTTGTTTGTATAATACAAAGATATATCTACAGTATCCAATTCCGTATGGTGCTATTGGTCTCAGATAATCTATCAATTCTTCTCCTTCTTTCACACGATTCCCAGGAATGTTGCCAATAAACCAATGACAATATTCATTGTCTACGTTCGTCAAATTGCCATCCGGTGTAGTCATTATCAGAGTCCACAATGATCCATCCTCTGCATTGTACTCAATGTTAGGTGCATTGGAAGCTTCACTCGGCTTGATCACGTTACCATTGTAAACTCTTGCCAATTTATCATTTTCCAGCTCGTAGCTTATGTTTAACGGAATAATCGGCATGAAGTAACCATCTCCGTACAGATGTTTGTAGATACCGTAGTGTTCCGCTAATCTATGAATATGAAAGGGACCATCGGTTTGTAGCCAGTCCTGTCGCGCTTTTTGTAGATCTATCAACAGTCGCCTGGTACGCGAGGCTTTTTCTAGTTCAGGATTTCTTCTAACCGCGATGATCTCGCTCGACCAGGCATTCGTTATCATTCGTCTGGTGACTTTAGATACGGGGAAGCCGATGTTCACCTTGAAATCCAATGTCGGATCCTCTTGACTGAGTCGGATTTCCTCGAGACGTTGCTCCAAAGTACGGGCCATCGTCGGTGGTTTCCCACGTAATCGATGACCATGACGAACATGTTGATTCCTCGGAATTAAAAGATCGTTGACGAGACGGCGAAAAAGCTTGATAGACATATCGCGACTTTATCGAATCGTGTTTCATGCGAATAAGAAGTTCAATGACATATTCTATTATTTACTCTAGTGGCTACGAAAAATCACCTATGACAGGTTAGAATTAGATTATATTAGGTTAAGGATCTCGTAAAAATACAATACTCCGTCAAGCATTAACTATGAATATGTAAGATTGGTCGTTTACTAAAATTTAAAGATACGACTCTTATGCTCATAAGAGCAGCTTTATGGAAACATGGCTTAATTTCTACACAATACATGCACAGCCGGCAGATAATGCCAGTGACGTGAAAAGCTGTGGAACGAAACCACCCAATCGCATCTAATGCACAGTCATTTAACACTTTTCGGAGTTGCTAGAATGCCAATTTTTTTTGACATACCGATCGCTATGTTTTCCTTTCACATTACAACGCATCTTAGCGTTTCGTTTGTAACGCGTTAATATTGCCGCGAAACGAGGTGCACATTCTCGATTAGATTGACCGATATCTTCCATGTCGCACGTGTGTCTCATCGGTTTAAAATTGATCCAATCTGATAATGTAATGAGAATGACTAGTTTTTGGAAAACAGCAGTAAAGAAAAACTCGTCTGATTTTTGACAGAAGTTTTTCATTCGCTTTTACAAACAAATCCCCGCGATAGCGAGCGCGTTATGGATTTTCGTTGGCGTTAAGTATAGCGTTGACAATAAGCATAGCGTGAGTGTAAATACACTTTTTATGTCATCGCCGCTTTTATCTCTTAATCGTGTCTTAATCTTTTAGTGTGTCGCAATGCTAATGGCAGTGAGAGGGAATCTCGACTGTGTAACTCACCTGTAAAGATGGTATGTATATTTTTATAGATTTTCATTTTATATGAAAAAAATTCTAACGAGATGATCTCTGAATTAGTTAAAAAATGTATCGATTAATTTAATTAAAATTAACATGGTTTTAAATGTTTTACGACAATTGCACCAAAATTATGTTAGGAAATACTTATATATTTAACAGTTATACATTCTTTTTTTCTTGCTGTTACAAGTCATAAATATACATTATAAATAACTGTATCTCAAGGAATCCTATATATAACAACACATATTTTTATTATAGATTTATAAACTAAATAAATTATACAATTTTGTGTGGATTAATGTAGAATAATCATATTGCAAACAAGATGTAACACACTATGGTTTTCTAAAGAATTTTGTATCTCAACTTTCAGTATATAAAAAATTAATAAGTTGTGGAAACTGTAAATATGTCGGTTTGATTGCCAGAATGCAAGATGAGATTCAATAAGCAGGAACTATTAACACTGGCCACGCAGCCTTCACAGAAATTCGAGAAAGAAGGTGTCCTGTATTTGAGAGAACGACAAGAAGGCTTCTTTCGCAGAACAGAAAGTGAGTCCTCAGAATATATCTATATACAAAGAATAAATATTTATTTGAATTAGAATAATAGCATTATCTTAGCATATAAAATTAATGCATGATTTTATCTATCTCTTATTTATATTGTATACGTCTTGAGAGAATAAATTTATATGATGTACAAACTTTTCATTTGATGTTTAATGTAGAGCCTGTCATCTTGTTCAGATTGTTAAAGTATGTTATGACTAAAGATATCATGAGTAAAAGAGATTGCATTTGATTGAAGCTTTATTTTAATAAGAAAGAGAAGATAATGTTATTTGTTAATGTCATTTAAAATATTTTTATATTTACTAGAGCTTGTTGTTTAACATGTAAACATATATCGATAGTAATGAGATGTATTAAATGTATATAAATAGGTATGACAGAATGTGTTGCACGAAGTAGATTTTATCAGTTCCCATAAATCGCCCCATATGAATCGTCGTGCGATAACAGCGGAGATACCGATAATTCGTATTATTTCTCTGTTCTTTTATATTATGGTATGGCTTTGCACGAAATATGAAACATGTGTTTTGCATATTGAATAATGTCAGCATTAGGAATTTTGTGAAAGTATTAAGAGTAGAGAAGTTTATTTAGTTATTCTTTTTTTATAAATTATATACATTATTCAGGATTTATCTAGTTATTTTAAATACTAAAACAAAATAATGATTTAAATATATTACAAGATGAATATACATTTAATAATATAAAATATTTAAAAATTTGTTGAGAATAAATTTTCAATTTTAATTAGGAAATATTTCTGGAATCAGTATAATGTATATAATCCGGTACTAAATCCGGTACTATGACCACTAAAATACGATGTTTCATCATTTTACTCGACATAATTATCAACCATTAAGGATAAAGGACAATTATTTATATTAATGACATGTTAATGAAAGAAAAAGATCGGTAGATTCCCATTTCATTTTTACACGATTAGTCAAATCGATTCGCCCTGACATCATCGTATAGAAAAGAGAAATTATAAATTATACCTTTTTACTTTATTGGGATATCGTTATGTCTGGCAGCTATCAGTACCTCGTGCAATTTCCAGGTACAGGTAAAAAACCCGAGAACAAAAATCAAAGAGGAAGATCGCATAAGAGTCTACGAAACCTCAATTGCGTTACAGCCGGCGCGAGCAAAGGTACATTATCCGAGTACGTTTACGTACTTATTTGAAACCCATATCACGTTCCCGTCACGATTTTTACGCAATTAACACACATTCTTTAACGACCCGATTAATCTTAATTAACGTGTATAGTCGTTTTCCTCGACACTTACAAAAGACACTTGCAAGAGTGATTCGATGCACGCTTGAACGAGATTGATCTCGTATTTTGTCGGTTGCATATTAAAAATTGGTTGAAGGAAAATGGAATGTGAATAAACTGGATATTAAACTTTTAGCTGGAATTTAAGATTTCTATTGTAATTTCTCGCATTTAATATGTGTTAGATTTAAATGTTTTTTTCTATCGAGATTACTTATTTTTGTTGGCTTTTTCGCTATTTGACAATGACAGATGATTTGATATTTGCATGGGTATTTATATTAAGCTCTTGATTCTCGATTTACCAGGACATAAGTATACTATTTTTTTATTAGCTTATATTAATATAGCTCGTATAATTGTTCTTTTTAATAAGACTTTTGGATAAGACATTATAAAGAATCGCTTTCGGCGAATCGAGGATTAATTGCATGTGGAATAGAATGCTTTGCGTGTTTTACATAGCTTTTTTCCGGTAGAAGTTTCATATGTGAGAGGGAAAAATCGTAGCGGTTTAATTCATGAATATTCGCGTCACGAGATATATATATATATATCTAAAAAATATATAATATATAAACATTTATTTTTTAAAACATGTATTTATGCAATATAAGATGTATAAATATAGAAAAAAAAACATGTAAAGAATCTTAATTTGAATGCAATTCTCGTGTCGTGAATACTCGTAGCTCAAAATAGCATCGATCGCATTGATTTTAACGAAGAGGATAAGAAGAAGAGATTAAGGACATATATAGCGATGTAATAATAAAACGTTAATAAGGGCAATAAATCCCATGAGAAAACTTGTTCGCTCTTGAAAGGGCATGTCTTCAAGATCGGATGCGCCATATATGTCGTACCATCACAGAAATATTCTACATAAAATTTAATGAAAAATAATGATTTATAATACAAAAAGTTTCATTTTAGCGCTAATCAATATTCATTGATAGTTCATAATGATAATATGTCATTATTAAAGTATACAAATTAAAAATTTTAGCTTGTTTTCTCAAGAAAGAAACATTTTCACTTGGATTTATTATTATTATGAACTATTACATATCTACGAAAATTTGATTATCACTACTAATCACCAGTCTGCGAAGGATTAAATAACGCTGTTCTTCTCTTTCTCGTCTTTTCCTTTGCCGTTTGCTACCGTACGCGGAAACCCCCTAACAAAATTTTCCAGCGTACGAACGGTTGTGCCTAAGCTGCTACTCTTCTGCTTCTGTTGTACAGTAAGTCTCGAACGATGGTGCAGATTGCGAGGCAATCTTTTGTTCTATTTCAAATCGCGAGAGCAGTGGTCGGAGCCGCTGGGGGTGATCATACTGGAGCAGTGTACGGTCCGCATAGATCCGCCCAGCAATCACGTCCCTTATGGATTCAGTATAGGCAAGTATTCGCGCACTCTCTTTTTTTCTTTCTAACGCATCGTTGCAATCGGTGCATCGACGATGCGTCCGTCGTCGTCATCGTCGTCTGCATGCGTGCACGCGGTTTCAACGTAGCGTGCAAGGCGACGTCAAAAGCACAGAAGGAAACATGTTGCAGTTTTCGACGGAGGCTTGTTTCAACAGCTAGGCGCCAACACTGCCGAAGAACGGGACAGCTGGTTGCAAGCATTGCAGCTGGCCAGTTACGAGTGCATGCGAAGTCAATTGCTATCGTTGCGACAGCGCATCGAGGCTTTCAGCGAACACAAGCACGACACCGACATTCAAATGTTGCGGTTGCAACGTGGGACTTTCACAGGTTGTGCGAATACTGAGAATAGATTTTTTGCCTGAATATACATGTATGCATATGCATATATAAAAGAGTAATTGAATAAAATAATGTAGTTTTGTCAACATGCTCTGTAACACATTGATTATTTATTAATTGCAGTTTTATAAAGTTTGAATGTATAATCTTTCTTCTGTAATATTGAATTATTATTTAATAGATTTTGGCAAAAATATTTATCTCAAGATTAAATTTTTTAAATTATTTAAAATAGAATTTGTTATGAAGGTATTCATAAAAAACTTTGTTAAATTTTCATTAAAAAAAGAAAAAATATCAACATGACACTTGTGACAAAACCCAATTTTACTATTCAGTTTGCATTTTTTATAAGTAATGATAGAGCATAATGATATCAAATCAATTTAATATATATTATTAGTTTCATGTTGAATTTATTTTCTCAGATCCGGCGGAAGTACCAATGTGCGAGATATCATTAGCCTGCGATAATCTATTATGCGATGGACACGGTCGACCACCTACTCCCGTTTTAGAGATAGATGTACAGTCAAGATCTTCCAAGACTTGGATTAAATACGCACGAACGGAAGTCGTTGAGGTAATGACGAAAAATATTCAAAGTGAAATTTTTCTTAAATCGTACAATTGCATAAACTTTTCTTCATGGCTCATTTCAGCGAAGTAGTAATCCAAATTTTTTAACTACGGTAAGTTTTCGAGCTAGCGATGGTTTGACCACTGAAACGAAAATTAGAATAACCGCATACGACGTCAGGGAAATGTTCAACATAGTACAAGACACTCCGAGGTAATTTTAACTGGACTATATCGTTATTGAATAAAATAAAAATGCTATTGAGAAAACAAAACTTTCAATTTGGAATTTTAATTTTACTTCTAAATTGAAATTTTATATTCAAAATAATATATTATAATTTTCTGTTTTGTTTATTAAGCTTTCTGTTATATAATTATATATTTTTAACTTTTCATTCTTTGTTGATTCTAGATTAAGGATACCATTAAAATCAGCGAGAACAACGACAGTCGGATTTTTAACGATTAATGTGTGGAACCTGGAAGCCGAAGATAAAGGGAATAGCACAGAAAGTACACCATCACGGAATGCAGTATACAATAGTAACAATCAACAACAGGTAATGAATTAATTTAAAATCAAGAAGTATCTTAAATTCGTCATTATATTACTATTATATAGAAATACAGATATTACATTTTACATGTATATATTCTTATCTTATATTTTTATATAATATATTTTAGTTGCCTTCGCACAGACGTTCCCAGTCGTTACCTCCAAGACTAGGGACGAAAATCAAGTTTCCACATCAAGGCCAGTTGAAACTTTTGTTTGCAAATCCATTTGTCCAGACTTACAGGTAAGTTTCTGTACTTTTAACGATTACGGCCAACTTAATTGACGCATTTATAGCTATAATCCATAATGCGAATATCGTAGATTCCATTCTGGACTAGGCGGTGATATTTGCGTACACGAGATTATGGCGGAGAGCAAGCTCTGTTTCCAGTTTCCCCAGCATTTATTGTAAGTATATTTCATATTTATTTATTATTTAACTTTTATATTTAATATTGTTTTATATATTATGAGTATGAAACTGTGAAGTAACATAGTGATAAATTGTAGGGGTATTTGGATACAGGAGGAAAAGGAATTGCTACAAGAGGTAGCTGGAATGGGAGAATTGAGGGAGCCTTGGCATACGAAGCAAATTGAATTGCTCGATCGTCATCTTCATTTGTTACATCTGTATTCTCAAGCCAAAGAAAACTTAGCTGCTTATAAAGGCAAGCATACTGATACATCTATATTTATTTGTTATGAAGTTTATTCTGTAATAAAGCAATAATTTTATAATAAACTATTTAGAATATGCAAAAAAAGAGAAAATAAGATTTAATATGCTTTTAAAAATCTGATGATTCGAATTTTTTAGGAAATTATTTCAAACAGTCATCGCGGAAAAATGATCGTGTTCTCGAATTCGCGCCTTTGAATTTGCATCTTCAAAGAATGTGGGTTCACAATGACACATTGAACAAATGCGGATTTTACGATTTTATTAGCGTAGGAGCATTCACCGCTCATTCCCACAAAAGCAAAAACGGCGGACTCATAAGGTATACAATATAAGATTAATACGTACATTTTTATCCAAGTGATCGCTAAAATAAAATACTAATATAATTGTTAATATATTTCTTTTGTTGCGTGCAGATTGGTGCAGGCACTAAAGGAGTCGCCCATGCGAAGTAATCAACTCTATCAAGGAACATCCAAGATTACAATGGCACATGACGCAATCCAAGCGATCAAACAATTACGCCGGGACGTTGTAGAGGCAATGAGATCCTTGATGAAACTCGCCAAGGAGAAACAAACGAGCGGCATGCTACCGATATGCGAGGATATGATTACGAAGACCAGGATTTTACTTAGTCTCTGGGATCCAGGCTTGGTGGAAGAGGCGTTAACGTTTCTGGAAGAATACAAAGTTGCGAAGGTTCAGGAAGATTCGACCACATCGGATGACACTTTGACATTAGACTTCAAGATCAATCAATCTTTATCACCATTCAAACGGATTACCCAGCAGCTGAACTTTGATCTGAGGAGTCCCGATTTTGACGATTTTGTTACGCCTGATACTCCCGAATGTATGCAGGATATTTGGTCGAAAAGTAACATTAAAAATGGTGAATACGCTCCCATATCATACTCAAGAAATGATGCACCCAACAATAATGCCGGCGAGGGCGACATTGCAGAAGAGAATTTCGTAATATTTCCGGATGTGGAGGACTACCCCAAACAAACAGAAACAGAGCAGACTGACGAGAATCTTCAGCGAAATTATGATAACGAAAGAAAAGAGAGTTACGACGAAGAGAAGGAGGACTTGAAGAATGATGCCGATCCGTGCAAGCGTTTTCTAGATACGCAAAAGATGTGCAATTCACCGTCTGCGAATTATTACAAACCTACAGACGAGCCGGAGCCGTGGGATCTCACTCAGTTGAATATCGAGGCAAGCGTTATGTGCCTCGTGTCAAAGGTGAAGTTTCTCTGCGGCAGATGCAGCAGTCCGGCTGTACGTCTACGCAATAAAGGTAGCTTAGGCAGGTCGCAGAGTCTCAAAGGTTGCCTGCCGAGTAATCGGCACAACACCGAAGTCGTTACCATTCAACCGAAGAACGGACTCAAGTGCGAAGAATCAAACAAATTGCTGGACGAGTCGAACGAACAGCGGCAGCAGTCCAGTCCGGGATTGGAGAAACCGGCGTTCTCCAAAGCGAAAGAAGGTAAGAAACGTGCGTAATATTTAGTAAATAGATTTCTCACGTAGAAAAACCGTAGTAAAAATGTGCAACGTAATATGCATTATTAGGGATAACCGATACTTATTGTAACTCGTCTTCCAATGAAGTGTGCCAAGCGGTCGATTCGATGACGCGTGTGATCAAAAGTAATTCGGGACAGAGGAATAAATTCACCGAGGGTCTGGACTTCGCATCGATTGTCGATTGGACGAGCGAGCTGAGACCGAGCATGAAAAAGTTGCGGCAAGCTATGGACGGACTGTTAAAAACTGCTAGACTAACGCATTCCGTGTTTCGTGTACAGGAAGATCCGAAAACGGCGCAGCGTGCGTGCAACGTTCGCTATAGACGAGATGTTTGCTTCAGTCAAGCAGTATGTCTCTCGTCATTTTTTTGCATTATTCTGTGTAGTACAAAGATATATGGAAAAATCTGAGAATATTGTTGAAAAATTTTAGCTAACTGCCTTGGTAACAGGCATAATGGCGAAACTGTGGTGCCAACGACCCGATCCGATGTTTCTGCTAATACTTACAACTCTGGGACCATTAGTTTCCTTCGAAGGCCTTCTTAGTTATTACGGAGACGAAATAGATATGTGGGGTGATATGGCCGTAGCGGTCGAAGATACGCACACCGTCACATTCACTCTGTCCAGATGTGGCATCCAACACAGGTAAAATAGAAACTTTATTTAGAGAGATTACCGCGATTCTTGATCAAATTACATTTTCAAAAAACCTTTATCTGAACGTAAACATTATTTTTGCAGAATCGGGGGGAATGCTAACGCGTTCCAACTTCCTCTACCGCGCGTAGTAGGATCGCGGAGTGCACTGACGGTGATACTTCCGGTTCCTGATGCGATTTATTCTCTCCTGCCATTAGTACCATCGTCTCGACAAACATTATCGTTCAACGTGACTCCGGTATTTTTCAACATTGGCATTAATGAGATGGCTTCCTTGGCCGAGAGCCTCGGCACTACGAAGCCGCAAGAGAAAAGTAATATGGATAACTTTGACAGGCTGAACGAGTATTATTTGAGATTTAAGAAACTGAATCTACCGACGGAACCTACATCCACGCGTTGTGAGTATAAAACTAATTATATTTACTCTTGAAATAATCTTCTTACCGGTAAAGGGATTTTAAAATTTATATATATATAATATTTATATGTATATATATATATATAATATTTATACGTATATATATATACTCTTCTAGTTGCTGCTAGATCGATCCTAGGCCATACATTGTCGGATATGATGGTCAATTTAAAGATGTGCGTGCAAGAGAAAGTCAATAAAAATGTAGAGATCTTGCAATTATCCTCGCAAATATGCCGAAAAATGCGCGGTTTGAGATTCACTAGCTGCAAGAGCGCGAAAGATCGAACTGGTATGTCGATTACCCTCGAACAGGTCAATATATTGTCGTCAGAGTATCATCTGGCTGAGGACGAGTATATGAGAGCCCTCGATTGTATGCGAAGGTAAGCGTAAAAAAAAAGATTTGAGAAAATAAGTTTGAAAGATATCTTAGAGGTGAGAGCTTTTACAAGCATCCTTTAAAGATTTTAATTATTATATTATTATGTTCTCGTAGTTACGCGAAAGATTCGAAAAAGATTGTACAATTTTAACTTTTCGCCAAACGATCGATTACAACAATCGTATTTTTGTGAGAGAATTCCATTCGCGTTGTCCAAATAATTGTTTGTGCCGTGAATAATTTTTCAAAAAAATATATCTGTGTCTCATAGAAAGTTAAATACATTTTGAATTTCTTTCTTGTTATTGTTTGGGAAAATGTAAATTTTGGATTATTCGATTCGTGCGTTGCTCTCTGCTGTTTCAGCGAGGGCTGCCGTCGGGAGAATACGTGGAAGAACATAGGTGTACGTAAGTACGCGTTTAATAGCTTGCAGATTCTGACGTTGCCCAGACTCTATCGACCGCCGACTGGTACGTACGGATCTGCCCAATCTTAAGGAATTCAATTAGCGTAAAGTACGCATATATTACGTGAAATTAAATTCGACTCTTTCTGGCTGTGTAATCACGGATTAACTTCCGTAGTATGTGCTATAAGTATGTAGTACTTATTACAAAGTAACAGATGTTGAACGTCGAGATCGTCGTTCAGGTAAAAAAGTGATTCTTTAGAGAATTTATTGGGGACACGCGACTGGCACACGACTGGCACGTGTTAGGCATACGAAATGCAATCAGGGGCGTAGCAATAGGATAGCAATAGGTTAGCAAAAGAAAAGTGATGCTTTTAGGTTTTCTCGTTAAATTTTTTCTTTCTACGCATTTTAAGATTCAAGTAATTATTAGCTATATAATTATAGCTATATAGAAATTACAAGTTTTGTTGTCGAGTCTAATAACAGTAGCTATGCCCCCTCCTCTCGAAAGCACTATGTAAGTGCATTATTACCTAAATTTGCAACGCAGAGCAGACACGAATGCAAGCTCGAGTATGTAACAAAGTAAGCGATAAATTATTTATGTAATACGTATTGTAACGAGGTTGGCTGGAATGCAGGAAATGAATCGGATTAGAATAAAAACTTTCCCGCCGATTTCTTTTTATTCATTTCTCGACTTTTAAATGATTCTTCCAGTGTCATTAAATAGCAATTACTCTTCCATTCCGTTTTTATTTCTTTTGTGATGCAAGTTTTTAATTTTGATCCGATTCACATCCTTTACTCCAATTCGCAATTGTTGGCGAGTTTTTGCAATACAATGCTTTGAATATCGTAAACGTTAAACATCATCAATTTGACGCAAATATATTTCGTGAAGAATGTTGATAAGTCATAAATTATCACAGCAGTTTCCATCTCAGATTTGCACTATTATACGTGATATTTAACGCTTGTTATATTCGCAAAACACGGTATTGCAAAAGGTCTTTATTATATTTAATTGAATTTATCGTGTTTGTTGAATTGTCGATTATTCGCCTTTACGGAAATAAGTAGCTCGGTGCCATCTTTTGCCATATAATTACTTACGGAATATTCGATAATATTAGCGTCATTCGAAGAAATTTCGTGATATCGCGTAAATATTGTTCGAGAACAAACGGCGTTGTATTTAACGGGAGAACGCTATTCTTCCTCGCACGAGTTTGCATGTGTGTGGAAAAATTATCGTGTTATATCCAACACTTTATCGTACAAAAGATCCCAGACACGAATAGACATATAGTCGTATTTACATCACTCCAATTGAATAATCTATTAACGCGTTACCGTAAATATAGACGGTAGATTCCAATTGGTTGGAGATATACATTGTTTTCAATAAATTATTAATTTTACCCGATGTCGAATGAACAGTTTATTTTTTATCAATTCCGTTTTCAATTAAGTACAGCACAATAAAAAAATTCATATCTTCCATATAATATATATATTTGCGCTCGATTTCCCGCAAACTACGAATAAGAAAATCTAATGAATTAATTTTTTAGATTGGCCTTAATTGAACAAAAATTGAGTGATACTAATTAAAGTAAAACTCTAATATAAACAAAACTTTAAAGATTATGAGATATGTTGCTTAAAACAATTTAAATTTTAGGGAAGCAAAAAATTATTCTAGTTTGTGGCGAGAAATTTCGCCCCGTTCGCCAGATGGGCTTATTATCCAGCACCCTGTATTCGCGCGATGCATTTATCATATCACTATCCCATACGACGTATCTATTACGATCTCATGCCAGGACATGAGCGCAACGAAACAGGGTAGGGGCCGTATAGCAGGCGTGTGGGGGTACAGACGGCCGGCCGGCCGGCGCGCGAGACAATATATACCTGACGAGGGCCTGGTGTTGCCGAACACCTGCTCCACACCGGGTTCGAGCGAACCTTTGTCCAAGGACCGATATAAAACTCGTACGCCGTTTCGGCTGCGCCAGTGGACTTTCGACAGGCGGTCAAGCGCGTGACAATCATCGCATCGCACGCGATTCAACGAGTCTCTAAAAATAAATCGGATTCTTTGAATAAATCACATTTAATCACGATAAATCTGTTCGTATCATGTTAATTAACGGTGATAAGGTGTGATGAAAATTTTTCGCCGAAGAAATTCAAGATCTCAGATGAGAATTTGAAAATGTGCGAAGATTTAAAAACTATCAAACTTGAAAATAAGAAAGATCTGTCAAATACACACCAAATATCTGAATCGGAAGATTTGTGAATTATAAAATACACGAAATATTCTCTCGAGGATTTATAAAACAAAAATATACAAGAGTCTCTCCCCTCAAGGGGTAATATATAAATTGCGAAATATAAAAATTCAAAGATCTCAGAATTGAAGAATCCTTAAAAGAATTGAAGAATTCAGGAATCCAGGAGATGGCGAACATACTGTGGCTGTTATCAGCGATTATCGCCGCGAACACGTTGATTGCCGGCACGCGCGCGGACGAGGATCTCAACAATACAATCAAGCTATTGCAGGAACAAGTGAGTGCATTGCTGGACCATCGACAGGAGGATTATAACGCTTTGGAGGAGAGTCTGAAGCAATCGATGGAAAAAAACACGGAACTCATCGTCCTTAGGAACGAAGTAAAGCAACTCAGGTGAGATTCTATTTGTCATCTTTCTTTACATGTAGTATCGTAATATGATACATGATACTGAGTGTATTGGAAGTTGCCAAGTATATAATTACGGTATCTATTGACGAGAAACCTTAGAATTTCATTCAAGTTTAGGGATTCTGTCAGGCCAGTCTTTTTTTACTTTATAAAGATGTCTTTTTTACGTACTTTCTGTATAAAATTATTCAAATTTACCTATATTATTTATCTATATAATTTTTTTATACTTTGAAACCTTATTTATATTTATGAATATTATCGATAATTTTTATGAAGTAATTTAATTGTAATAAAAATAATAAAACAGTAAAATTTATCTGAAAACCATAATAATTGTAAGATAATTGATAATAAAATACTAAATAATATCTAAAACAATTTTTATAATTATTTTTATTCTTAAAAATAGCGATAGTCAGCCTTTATTGGTATGCAAAGAAAAGATATAATAATAAGATACCCCAGAAAAGTATTATAATAAACATATCCCCTCGCACATGCAGGAAGGAAGTGAACGCTCTTCGCGGCGGAAGCGGCAACGAGGCGAAGAACGAACGATTGAGGGTGAGATGGCTTGGCAGTGCCGTGACGGAGCTGCAGAGCGAGATCGCCGAAGTGCTCAGGACGCGGAACGCCAGCGAGGAGTTGGCCGAACGTTCGAGGATGAGGAGCGAGTTGGCCCTGTTAAAGGGTGACGTAGCCGAAGTTGGCAGAAGTGTACGCGATCTCGGTGGCAGAATTACCAAGATCGAAGCTATCCTCGGTACCATCAGGCTCGATATTGCTGCGACCAAGGAACGCACCAGTCTCCTATCTCGCTCCTGCGCGGATGTCAGTAGTCAGGTAAATCGTTTCCTTTCGCAATGTTAGAAAAGATTAATTAAAAAAAAAAAAAAGAAATGACGATGGCGGAAGGGACAGGTGGTACCAATTTGCCATACAGCTAAATCGAATCAAGTGCGTGGAATAAAAAAACATTTACTTGAATATTTTCCTTATTTTGGAGCAATGAATTAATTTTTCAGTTCGCGATTGTTTCTCGCGAGAATATAACTTTGGAATTTTATATTAATTAATACATATATAATCTAATCGCTAAATATTTCAGATAATTATACTCGTTATCTGTAAATCAAATTTTATTTTCCCTTTTATACACATACAAACTACAAGAATAATATCTTATATAAGGATATATATATATGATACATATATCTTTGATACCGCCATCGGCGATTCCGACGGGATTCCTAGATGCGCGCGTGCCACTCAATGGCTATAGCCGATTTTTTTCGCTTATAACGTCTCGAGATCGATTTCGTGGTGACGGCGAGCGTATCCACCGCGTATACGTATGCGTACACATCGAAGGGCCGAAGGACCCGGCATGCGCTCGCTCGCGCGCCGACAACGGGCGTCCGTGTAGATAACGGCTGCCGCTACCATTTAGTATTTACGGCAGGAAGAAAGGGGGATGCGTGGTCGGTGCACCTGCCCGGCATGCGCTCGCTCGCGCGCCGACAACGGGTAGATAACGGCTGCCGCTACCATTTAGTATTTACGGCAGGAAGAAAGGGGGATGCGTGGTCGGTGCACCTGCGCTTTGCACGGGGCGGCCAGCTGCTTGGTTCCTGTTTCTCGTTTTGCCGCTTGGCAGCTGCTTCTCCACCTCCTCTTCCCTTCCTCTTGCCCCGCCCGTGCAACGGGCCTTTGGGCCGCACGTATGTGCCCCTCAGGCCCGCGGCTCCCCCAATTCCCCTCTTAAATACTTCCCGCCCCTTGCGCTTCGACTTTCTACCGTCACAAGAAGTTAAACGTAATATAAAATGTAAGAATAAAATTCAAAGAATGAGAATTAGTGGGTTATCGGGCAGAATAATCGTGTTATAAATCGACAAATTAAAATTTAACTCGTGCGATTTTTCACGTGGAATTACTTCGCAATGATAAAGATTTACTTGAATATTATATTGTGAGATTTTTAGACTATTTTGCTCCTAAATAGGAGCAAAGATATTAATGGAACATATTTGCCAATTCAGTTATTAAAAAATGACAAATAATAGAAAATAGTAGAAAAATAATACAGAATATATATTAAGTAATATGTGATAGACAAAAAAATAATAATTTTTGTAAAATTGATGACTTTCTTTGATTCCTTTGAATTTTTTTTTTGCGCGCACGAGAGAATCATTCTATAATAATGATTTTATGCGCGTTTATAAATTCGATCTTGATCCTACTGAACATACGAGTCTTGATCGGTGAACCTTAGTGTCTGTGGTATTTGACACACGCTGGCGAATGCAGCCACACGAGTCGACAGCTGTGGCCCTACTCTCACGCATTCCATAAACGCGTGTGTATTATATATGTACAGGTACACATACCACGTTATTAAGGATTGCCTGTAAAAAGTCGGCGGATTAAAAAGAATCAGTAGGAATTTATTTTGTGGAATGAAAAAAGAGAGAATTTACGAAAACGGAAATTAATGATTTTACTAATTATGGTGTTTAATTATTTACATAAACAAATTCTGCCGTTATTTTTTAATTATCGTGTCTTGTTTTTAAAAATCTCAAAATCAGGAAAAGATATTAAGAGTAATATTACGAATCAATACTCGTTCTCTATATAAAATGTGAACTTATCTTTTTCAGTTAAGCACGGTGCAGATAGAGCTGAAGTCCCTGAAATGCGAGTCCACACTTCCCGGTCAAGATCCGCAGAAATTGGAACATCACGACAAAGCCGATCTTTTCCGCAACGAAGTGAGCAGACTGCATGAAATCACATCGGCTCGAAGACGCAGCTATTTCCGCGCTCTGATTCATCGCGCTCGCTTCGAGGAACGGTTGCGAAACGTCGAACGAAAGATTTCCGTGGTAGCGCGGAAGCGAGCGATGATCGAAAAGCGGGTTGTGTACGAGGATCGCGAACATCTTGAGGAACGAGTGAAGAAGCTCGAGCTGACACAGGCGGAGCTTTCGAAGAAGGTATTCAATGCCACCCGAGATCTGGTGTCGATGAATGAGCTTGACGAATCGGTGGTGCGATTGTACGACTCGGTGCGACTCCTTGAAGAAGCTGTCTACACCAATCGCTCCGAAGTGAAACGAGAACTGGCGAAATTGGGGATAAACGCGGCGCGAAAGGCGGCCGAACTATCGCTGACCAGGGAGGAGCTTGGCAATCTTCGACGCGCGGTTCAGGCGTTGAGCGTAAGCGCATCGCAGCTGCAAGAGAGAAGCGATGTGCAACGGAAGAGTCTGGACACCCTGAATGAGACCCTTAGCCGACTGGATCTCTCTCGCAATTTGGCCAAGGCGGCGAATGTCACGCACGAGTTGGAACAAGTGGAGGATCAGTACCGTCTCATGGTAGATTCACTCCCGGGCAACTGCGAAGAGCGCGACGGTTTGACTCTGTTAGCGCCTGGTCCCGGAGCACCTTTACTGGCCTGCTGCCGCGCCGGTTCGATCGTTGTGGCTCGCAGAATACACGGTGCAGTCGACTTTGATCGCACCTGGAACGAGTATTCGGTCGGTTTCGGTTCGCCGGTCAGCGAATTCTGGTTAGGCAATGAAGCATTACATCGACTTACCCGCGACAATTGTAGCAGGTTACGAGTCGATCTGATCGACACTTATGGCGTGCACTGGCATGCCGAGTACGAGCATTTCACGGTCGATTCCGAAGAGACCGGTTACCGACTCCATGTGTCCGGTTATTCAGGCAATGCGACCGATGCGTTGTCTTATCAGGACGGCATGGCATTCAGCGCCAAGGACCGCGATATGGATATCAGTACCACCGATTGCGCGGCCAATTATCGGGGTGGATGGTGGTTTAGTCATTGTCAACACGCCAATCTCAATGGCAGATATTCTTTGGGCCTGACGTGGTTCCAGTCGACCACTAACGAATGGATGGCAGTTGCGTCTTCCGAGATGTCGGTGCAACGAAAGCAGAATTGTTGACGATCCTGAAACATTAAACGAATGAAATTATTCCTATCGAATCAACAGAATTAAATATATGAAAGAACTTTAAAAAAATTAAAGATTATTTTGTGCGATTTGAGTCACGCATCTTGCAGTCAGTTGACGAGAGAACATTGATTGTAATACCAAAGAATTAAGTATAATTTAAAGACTTTAATGTAAATACAGTGTACAGTTATGCACGATAGAGTAAATGTTGTAAATGTAAATGTACGAAAAACATATATTACTTATCATATATATAGTAATAAAAAGCCAATAAAAGCCATTAATTTTTGCCTCTAAATAAAACATGTATTAAAAGGCACAAATTACACATATAAAAACCAATGTTCACCAAGTTAATCAACTATCACATTATATATCAATATTTAAAACGGAACTTTTATAGCTATCATGTACAAAAAAAGGATATGTTACCATAATATTCAATAGCATATGTATTAATTTCAATGCTATTATTTTCCATATGTTACCTGTCTAACCTGCTTGCCGCTATTGAAGAGGGACGTCAGCTGTTAGAGGCGGAACCTTTTCAAGTCTATAATAAGCTGTTATAACCCTTCATTTTTGCGTTTTCATATATAGAATTCGGGCTTTATATTTGCGCACAGACGTATTATTATATATGCTGAATACATATTTGAAGAAATAGCTCATTGCGCAAACAAGAGGAAATTTTTTTGTAGTTATGCATAAAAAATATTTGTATAAGATTAGAAAATGTATAATTTGGAATGAACTTTATGATATTCTCAGATTATATCTTTCTCAGTTTTTTCTTATATTGCTTACAAAACTACATAAAGAACCATATCAACAGGACATTAGATTATTAATTAAAAGATATATGTATACGAAATTTTAATGCACGAGTTACATCAAATCATTATTGTCAGTGCAACCGTTTTCGAGGCATCTGCTTGGAATCGATCGCCGCGATTTGCATTTCTTCTCGTGCACAAACAGGCTGCCGGAATTGCCGTAAGCGGAATCGCACATTTTGCAGACATATGGCTTTTCTCCAGTGTGCGTAAAGATATGGTCTTTCAAGTACTTGTACCGGATGAAGGACTTGCCGCAAGTGTCGCAATGATAGTTTGCTTCCCCCGTGTGAGTTTTTAAATGATATTTCAGCCCGTTCGGGGACGCGAAAGCATTGCTGCAGATATGACAGACAAAGTGCTTATCACCTGTATGGATCTTCTCGTGTCTCTTCTTGTAACTCGGAATAGCAAAGCTCTTGTCGCAGTATTGACAAGTGTACGGTTTGATGCCGTAATGCGATTTAAGATGCAACCGTAATCCGGTCATCGAAATGAAATTTTTATTGCAGATGTCACAGAGATACTGCTTTTCGTTGTCATTTGACAGTTCATTGCAGTGAACATTTTTATCAAGCGTAATAGGTCCGTTTAAAGACGTTTTTCGGATCTTAAAACCAAGATTGCTCCCATCATTATCATCAGCCTCTGAGTTTATTTCTACATTAAGTGTACTCTGGGATAACGCAGTGTTATACGTTTCTGAGCTTAGAGCAATTTCTGAATATGCCCTTAAAGATTTTTTTGTATATCTTAAAGACTTGCCGGCGTATTTACGTTTTCTTCCTTTTGACTTTTGTTCTTTTTCCTTTATTACTTCCCTGATCTAAATACATAAGGGTTCTAAATTTAATTTGAAAGTCAGAGATTTTGTCTTTCAGTGAATAGTATTTTCATCATTTACCTGACAATGTTTATTCTTTTCATAATATTCATGCAGTTTGTCGTTGGACTTTTTACAAAGATTTACAAATTCGTGAGCGTCCCGTAATCTGACATTGCATTTACAGCATATGAACTTAGGTAAATTCTCATCTTGCAATATCTAATGGAAAAAGATGACATTAATATAAAAATCTTTTCAAGGACTTTCTTTTGAGATTACACAAAGTGGACGATTACTCACGACGATGGAACACAAATCCGCGATCTGTAATCTCAATCGTTGACATTCGTCGTCATTGACGTTGTCAAACAAAGGTGTCACGTCGCGTTGCTCCGGTTGAAGACATAATCTGCATACTTTTTGCATACCGTCTTTCTCATAAGTTCCTTGCAAATACAGGAGAGATATTTCTGGTTTCTCGAATATTGATATAACTATATGACCATCTTTAGTCCTCCATCAATTGTCAATCTTTTGTTTAGGTTTAGGTTAAATTAAGTTCGCTGAAAAAACTCTGACGAAAAAATTGTCATTCGCCAAATGTAAAGGGATTATATGAAAGAATAAAACATTTAAAACTATTGTGCTTCGTTAAAGAAGATATAATGTTATCAGAGAAAAGACTGAATGCTATGTGACATGTTGTCAATTTGAAGATTAGAAAATGAACCATAGACATAGTATATCTAGACCGAGCGTTTGCCTTTATTTAAGGAGTGGGGGCCGATGCCCATGTAGAAAAGGACATACTCTGTTTCGTGCCCCTTGCGTTCTCTCTCGCTCGCACAGAGCATAGCGCTCTCTTTCGTCATATACTATGTCTATGGGTTAATCTAACCGGACTTGGTGAAATTGGCCCTAAGGGCCAATTTTTTTATAATGCATATATGCATTAATGAAAAATGAAATACGTAGCACATGGTCCTGAAATTTATTCTTAATTTATTATAAACTCTATGTGCTTTCTATTAAAATGTTACAAAAATATGTATTTGGAATTTCTTACCAATGTTACAGGCATGAAGCCATTAAGTATTATAGGTATGTTGCATTATGGCCGGTTAAGTTTTGAATAAACTTTCCCTCTGGACACTTCCATGATTTGATATCTGCTGACGCCGAAGCGAACATATATAACCATGGATGAAATAACAATGCTCTAACACTTTTTAAATTGGGTTTAATCGCTCTCAAAGCAATTAAACTTGCTTCATTCAAAAACGCTAATAAAAGTTACCGGTAGGATCACCCATGCCGGACAGGTCGAAGAGGAAAAGTCAGACTAATTGTAAGAGAGATACTGTAGTTATATTTTTTATATTAATATTTGTAAATAAAATAAAAGTAAAAAAAGACAATAATAGAGAAAAGGGAGTTTACTCGTTTTTGAAATTAATATCGTATAAATATACATATCTAAATGTCCTGAGAAAAGTATTATTTTCGCATTTCTGACCTTTTAATTAAGATTCTGAGTGGAATTCCACAAGATAGAAGAACACTTAACATTTTATATGCTAAAATAACAATATTGCACAAGATATCGCGATTTTTTAACATTTTATGACATTTTGCGAAAATCTGACAGCTGATAGTATCACCGGCGATCATATAAACGTGAAAAAATTAATTAACGCTGTCAACAAATAAAACTACTTAAAAAACAATAGAATACGGTTAGCAGCATAAATGAAGAGTATTTTTAAAAAGTTCTACCGTCGATAGCCGAGAAAACACTTTTTTGTACATTTGAAAGTGGTTATTTCAAAACCTATGAAACGCACTACAATCATCGCATTTGAAAGATAATTTAATTCTCTACGAGTTATAGTCATATTTGTATTCCAGTAATGTAGAGCTGCTTAACGTTATAGGAAGTGCTTAAAATGAAATAACGGAGTATATCCACATGTTACAATCTTATGATATAATCATTAATAATTTATATACTTAACATAAAGATCTTTTTAATATAATATAAATGTATGTAAAAGAGATGAAATGTCTTCACAATAACAATTGCTCATATTTTTTTTTCAAAACACACCGATACCTAAAATAAAAAATATCGATATACTAAAACTTTAGATTAAATATTCCTTTAATCTCTCATAGTATACCTGCTTCCATGGGTGTTTCTATTGGAAAAGCTGACGATTTCAAAAGGCGTTTCAGAGTATGATACTATTGTATGCATGATCTATTTCGTGCACAGTATCTTCTAAAATTTCAGTAAAAGATTTCTCATTATCGTTTATTATTGATTTATCAGCTATTAAAGATAGATGTAATTTGCCTCCGTAACTGAACAGAGAAAGGCCGAGAGCGGTCGTACTTCTAAAAATAAAATTATAAGTCATATATATTTCGTATATCGCTATAATGCATTAATTTTTATTTATTTATTATAATAAAAAATAGAGCAGCGATGCAATACTTGTTTGGTATCCAGAAGGCAATGTTGCTCAAAGAATTATTGAGAATACGAACTCTTTGTGGTCCATACATATTGCTGAACCCCATTGTGCTATGAGTTAAAAGAAGAACTTTCAAAATTTTCACCGGCAATACCGAGAATAAATATTTTATGAGCCAAAAATTAAGTAACAAGTCCGGACTTTTTGTGAGTTCATTATCTGCTTTCGTAATATCCTCAAGACGTTTAAAAAATTGAGAATCTTGATTTGGCTCACTGATCTTTTGTCCGTTCGCGTTAGAAATACAAATCCGTAGAATAGCAACTGAAAAATTATTATCTAACGTCATATTTTCATCAGGCATTGCCATTTTTATCGGCAAAATGATTGTTAATGAATCGGGTGCTGTTCTATTGATCTGTAAAGAAGAAATATTACATGTTTATATGATAAAGAAAGAGATGCAGTTTAATTATGTAAAAATCGTCAATTTTTCTCTCAGTTTTCAGGTGTAATTTTAGGCGTATTTTAAATATTTTTTGAACTTGTGTGTTATTTAGAAACGTTTTAATACATATATTTACCCGTAAATAATATTTGTGTATACTGGCAGAGAAAGCTGCCAATATTACATCTCCAAATTTGGCGCCTGTACTTTTTTTTATTTTGCGGACTTTCGTTAAAAGCTTTTGTGATTTGTCATCATCATCCTCTAACCAGTAGGATATTATTTTTTCACCTGTCTGTGGCGGGCCATGTAAAGAGCTATAAAAATATATTTATTAGGATAAAGCTTATTTTAAATTTATTCTACATATAGAATTTACTTTATTAGAGACATAATGAAAAGTAAAAATTATATTGATAGAGAATTTGATTGAGAAATTTTATTTTATAAAATTATTTTAATTTTTAAAATAAGAGATATGTTTATTTTGACTTATGTTTTTTGATAAAATATTCGAATATTGAATACATATATACTTTTCGTCCATACTACGACCAGCCTGTTTAATCAACCATTTTGGAGTAGAAAAGATAATTATCATCAATCGCGTGATTTCTTTAATTTTCTCGTATATTTGTTTCAGGAAGATATCTTTGAAATTCAGCCATATATGATTGATTGATATTTTCGCTTGCTGTTTTATAGAATTCATTGTTACGGTCTTAAAATATTTCAATAACGCATGAAAACGGCATCGTAAATCTTTCAAAACTCGTAAAACTGTCATGTAAATAGAAGGTATAGATGCGGCGAGAATATTTTTTTCATAGGGTCGCACCATTTCCTTATCCAAATGTCTTGCCTCATTCGGGAAATTTCTCCTCGAATTATGCAACGACGAAACAAATTCTTTGAAATTTCTTACATTTGCATTAATCGATACGGTATTTTCGATTTTTACTTTCGTCTCGTCTTCGTCAGTGATCGCTTTGAATAATAATTTTAAGAGAGCTATCCCATCACCCAGGGAATGATGGACGCGAAATATCATAGGAATCTTGCAAGTATCAGTGTCGAAGCACTCTGCGGAAGACAAACGGTCTTTTTCGACGCGAGATCTGGATCTCGGACAACGTTTCCCGACGAGAATCTCCCAGGCGGCTGTGTGATTATCAGGCAACGATTTATTGCATATGCTTCCTAAATTCTTCCTAAAGGATTCGCTAGATATATCTTCGCAAGATCCATCGCAATCAGCGTTCTCGCATTCCAGCCATCTAATCCTATTTTTCAGATCGATTTTTTCATTTCGCTCCCAAAAATAGTAACCAAACTTTTGGTTTCGATGATAAAATAATTTTTCAAATGTCGAACCAGCAGCCTTTGAAACGATGCGATCATTTACTAGATTTTTGAAATCTTCCAGAAAGATCGCGTTCGAATTTCGTCTATCATCTTTCTCTAGTATCATTAATATATTGATAACGGACAAGGAAGCAGCATCTTCAATGGCCCATACATAATCCGTGCCTTTCAATAAACCGGCAAACTTGTCTTTGAACTGGATTCTTAAAACAATTTTGACTAGATAGCGATAGATGTATAAGAAATTCAAAATGATAAGGATGAACGGAATAAGCAGACAAACACAGACAATCCTCAGTAATTCTTGTAGTCTTTGACGTCCGAGTCCATTTAAAAAAACGGAATTCAATCTTGCAAATTGCATTCTTGTTTCGGGAACTTGCTCGTAAATTTATCTCGATTTTAATATACTTGGCAGCGATCGTCCCCAAAAGCGGTTAGTACAGCCTTATCAGAATTAAGGTCGTTAAGATATAACTCCTGTTGTTGAAAATGACTTAGCGTTTATTTCTTGGTGTCCGTGATATACAATTCGAATTCCGCAACATTTTATTAAACAATATCGGAATAAAAATTTGATCATATACGATGAAAGGTTGAATAAAGGAAGTAGATTTCGACTTTGAACGGATTTTATAAGGCTGCGAACAACTATATTTTCGCGATACAATGTTTTACAGCATCTTAGCAGAACGGCGGACTTTCGAAAAATGAAGACGAAAGGAAGCGAAAGCGACGAAATTATATTCTGTCGGATTAAGACAGAAACCTGTACACGTCTCGGAACAAAAATCGTGTTAACTTCTGATTCGAAGAAATCAATCGCGCGATATATTGAGATAAGATATCTGTGTACTTTGGGAGACGAGCGCATTCCCAAACAATTCTGTTTACAATATTAAATCATGAACTGTTAACAATTTTAAATCTATTTAAATTTTAATTGATTAATTAATTTTTAATCGGTTTCATCATTAAAATGATATGAAAATTTCAAGTATTTCCAATTTGAGTTCTTGAAATACATAAAATTTCACTGTTATCTGAAAAAAAATATTGTTAAAGATATATTTAAAAATAATGTAATTCAAGCCACACTCTATTAACTTAATTAAGAAGAATATAGGAAGAGAGAACTTTCTGTTACTTACTGTTAGCAGCATATGCCACTGAGACTAGCAAACGTGTTATTCATATAGAGAAGCCACAAATCTTCGCCCAGTTTCGCAATTAGATTATAACTATACTGCGTTCACGGAAAGAACGATATCGCTTTTCGCTCGGTTCGGTCAGATCCCCCCCGACCGACCGTCCATTTTGCCCCCTCCACGCTGCCAAAATTGGTCTTGCAGCTTGCAGATCCGGCTACCCGACAGAAGGGACCCTATTTATTTATAATAATATTAAATTTTATTAATAATTTTTAGGTTGCAAAAAGAGAAAATAAATATAATAGATATATCGCGATTTAATTAAAAAGAGTAATAAAAATCGATTAACAGAAAACAACTCAAGCTTTCAATATTATGACATTTCTTTCGAGCTTTATAGGCGGATCACATACGTGATACACGATCGATACGCATACGACATACAGCATTGAAGTAGCGCGCTGAAGTCTCTCACCTAATCCCCACTCCGCCCAAAGCTGCGCGAAGCGAGGTCGTTCTCTCCGTGAACGCAGTATAGTAACGTTTTAAAGATTCAGATGACATAAAAAAAAATGAATCAAATTTTGAAAGGGCTTGCTTCAGAGGACTAGGCTTGCTGAATCATTTGTACAAGGTCATTGGGGCTGGGTCCCCTATTCGCTATATTTACCAAAATAAATATAATTGATATATCGCGATTTAATTAAAAAGAGTAATAAAATTCGATTAACAGAGAACAACTCAAGCTTTCAATATTATGACATTTCTTTCGAGCTTTATACGCGGATCACATACGTGATACACGATCGCATACGACATACGGCATTGAAGTAGCGCGCTGAAATCTCTCATCTAATCCCCATTCCGCCCAAAGCTGCGCGGAACGAGGTCGTTCTCTCCGTGAACGCAGTATAAATCCCTTAATTACCTTATATTTTTACTGATGTAAATATGATGTAATGTAAGATACTGGCAGTCTCATAGTCAGAGAAATTACTAGTGGCGCTCGCGCATGCGCTTTATCGATAAATACAAGCGCTATATTCAAATGATGATAGCAACGCGTTCCCGACAGAAGGGACCCTATTTATTTATAATAATATTAAATTTTATTAATAATTTTTAGGTTGCAAAAAGAGAAAATAAATATAATAGATATATCGCGATTTAATTTCGGAGGGATGCCTGAGCGTCTTTTACGGTAAACCGTGAATCAAATCGGACGTGTCTCGTTGATCTCGTGTGATATGCTTAATTGATTAATCACATTTGTATTCTAAGTTTGTAATTAGTTCTGAGTTCGAGTTTATGAGTTGACCAATAAAAACGTGTTTCGATAAGTGCTCAAATTATTGCTTTATTCGATTTCTCACGTTCACTATAATATTTATATATACAGTTCAATAATTCATGGTTCAACTGTTAAACTATTATCCTTTTTAAAAAGTCATTCTCCTGACAAACTACAAATTGACTCGCTGTCTTACAGTAATCTTACCTAAGTCAAACATTATTATATTTCTTTAATATTGATAACGCGCATTCATTTAACATTTAAACATTTTTGTTCAAATAATCATATTATAATAGTCAGTTTACTTCACAAAAAAATTTTATTTTTTAAATAATTTTTAGTAATTTTTCCAGATTTGCAATAATCTTGAATTTGAAGTCGCGCACACATAATGCATATTTTAACTTAGGTTTCATTTGTTAAAATCCAACATTTTCTGCAGATTTTTTCAGTCTTTTTGTCAGAATTTACGATGTTTCCTGCGAGGTTGAACAATTTCTGTTGCAAAATATCGATCTACAGTACACACATAAGTTTTTTTAAGACGTTTGTCGAAATATATTTACAATAAGATGTCACATATGCGAAATATATTTACAATAAGATGTCACATATGCGCGAATTACAAATTAAATTATGAGACGCATATGATATGTGACATGCGATGCAAAACTCATTTAATTTGACATAAATTATAATATTCGATACATTACAAAAATATGACATATTCCGAGAAAAGAAGATATCTCGCTCTTCTGATATAATCTTATATGTATATTTTATTGTGCAATGACATATATAAGAAAACTTAAACATACAAACCTCCTTCTGTTTTTCTTTCATTTTGTAATTCATAGCGTTAATTTGCTTCTTCAAACGCTCGTTTTGCGATAACAAAGTGTCATATCTAAAATGTAACATGTATCATATACATAAGCAGAATATTTAGCAATGATACAAAAGCAAATTGTGATATTATTGGAAGAGATTACTTTTGGTGCCATGTCCTCTGCACTTGTCTTTTTAAAGCTTCCGGCAATATATCAAGAGAACCAATTTGAACATCCGTAACGCTTTGTCGAAATAAATCTAAAAAGCGAAATTTTTTCTCGAACAGAACACAGCAAAGCAAGTAAATTTAGGCAGAAATTTTACTTACTTAACATCTGCTCGTTTCGTATTTTAGCTTTCCTTAAATCATCCGTTAAAATTTTATCGCGAGATTTCAAGGTAGAATACCGCAGAAAACGGACAGCTTCTAAATCCCGCGAATATTTTAAACTTGTCTCTAATTTTCGAGCGGTATCACGTATTTTATTAATTGTCGCGATATATTTTCCTTCGAGGCTTTCTACATGCATGATGTTCAATATTTGTCAATTGTAATCTAATTTAATTGACAGCAGAAAGAATAAGGTACACTGAAGATTCGTTCTTGTTAACGATATTGTTTTATTAATTTTTTGTATTTTATGTTATTGTAAAATATAGTATCATAAATAATTCAAAGCCCTTATTACCGTTAATCGCGTTGCGTGCTCTGTATAACTTTATATATAATCTAACCCTGCAGCCTTAATTTACTTTTTCTGATGTTTAAACATTTCTATTCTATACACATACACACACTATCTTTTGGTATTAAATACATCTTTGGACAGCAAATACTATGTAAGTCGTATATGAATGGAGATACACTTATCATGTATGAAAATAAAAATGTACATCACAGATTTATGCAGTGCAAATATTATATCAAAGCATTTAAAACTCTTTAAATGCTTTGAGCATATATTTATGCTCAAACATATTTATATAATATAATGCTATTTCCTTATTGGACATGGTTCTGAAATGTATTTTTTAAAACTTTGATGTACGTTTCTTAAATAATCTCGTGATCGATCTCTGGTATCTTCCAATATAGCAAGTAATGCTTCTCTGGTTTTGTTTGTTAAGGCCTCGTTAAACCGTTCCATAAGTGCCATGTCTATTTGTGGAATACCATCCAGATCTTCAGCAATTTCCCTCACTGTTGTCACATCTATAGTTAGAGATACTAAATCGGAGTCCTTTGATTGCCTGTAAATTATTTTTATCAACATTGGTATGAAATTTTGAAACATATTTGCTTCATATTTATATTTTTTAATTTAATATTTTCATATAATAAAATAATGCTATAAAAATTGCTATATATATTTTACAAAAATTTCTCAAGTCTTAAACTTGATTAATATTTGAATATATTGATTTTATACAATCTGTTAATGTTCGATATTAGTCTTATATTAATACAAGATATAACTTACGATTGAGTCAATTCCTTAGCGAGAAACTCTGAACAAGTTTTATATAATTCTAAACACTCCAGACTACTTCGAAGATTGCGTCTTTGGAGGTACCTTTCAAAAATTTGTCTGCCCTTTGGATGAGATAAAGTCTTATTTATATTATCTGTAATTTGATCTAACTCTTCAGCTGTCAAACCAGTTGTACATTTTCCAATACAGCCAATTGTTTGAGTCGACAATGAAGCCTGCATGTTTCATTACGCTACGAAGAGAATTGTAGACCAATTTTTTCTTGAATTATTCTTTTTTCAGCTTGAGATTAAAATATCCTGCAAGCAAGTAATTTTTTGGAATCGATTACAATTTTTATGTTTGATTCGAGTAAACAATAAGAACGATAAAGAATGATAAAAGAGAGTACAAAAAAGAACTTAGTATATGTATGTTATATATATAACGTTTATATATATCGTATAATTTTATAGCTCTCTCTTACATATATATAATTATTATTTTCATATTCAATAAAGTAATGATCTTTGCGTATAGCGAGCCATTTAATCAACATCGATATGATATATGATCCAAAAGCATGTGTTTCCGGCTGATCAACTGTCAATTCTCAATGCCATGCGTGAATCGTCGCATGATTCGTTTGGCACTATCTTTCATCAGCTGATCGATTGACAGTAGATCTGCCCAATTGTACTTTCTTTACTAAAAGTGCTGTACTTAAAATGAAACAAGTATATATTCACGCTGTGGAAAGAAAGAAAAAAAAAACGAGAGAAAGCGAAAATGAATCAATTCTATAAATTACAAGACCGTCTCATGTCTTCTGTTATGTTTTTACGTGATGTTTATGATGAGTTTTCATGAAATCATGTTTGAATCAAATCTCATTTGAACTAGATTTGAACGTTAAATTACAATCTAAAATGTAAAACGAGGGATTGCTCAGCAAAATTATTCTTTACACATACATATTGCGAATATATTTAAATAATTAAATTTTACATCATGAAAAATGTAAAGCAATCTAGATGAATCGAACATGCCATCACTTTGAATCATATGATCTATGGTTGATGCTGCATCGTATGTCAATCTGTGAATTAGCCCAAATGGGGGATCTACTACAATCTCTGAAGACTATCAATAGGCATAGCTTATCGCTTATCTTTATGTTAAGTGCGATGTAGCGAGATATTAATATATACAACCTCATACATTTTTTTTAAGACGATTCATCATGTCAGGGACCAAGGTAGGAGAATGTTTTTAAGAATACTTATATTCAATAACAATGATCAAATAAAAGAATCACATATATGCTCTATTGTTTTTTACACACATATTTTTTGTATTTAATAAATATTTTTTTAAAAGGTAATAATGCATTTTGCTGTTATTTTAGAGTGAAGACAGTAAAAATGATAATTTAAACAGGCAAGGATCCTTCAGGAAACTTGTGCCAGGAAGTAGTAATGGAGAATCTTCATTAAGCATGTCTGTAAAAATGATAGACAGACCGATTGTCCCGCAAACTAACAAGCAACATGCTGTTTTCGTACAGGAATATAATATTATTTCAGAATAGTGAGTACACACACACACACACACACATACACATACAGTAGTATTATAATATGTATATCGTAGAAATAACTAACTTACATATTTTTTTTTCCAGCAAGATGTTGTGCTCTCAAGATTTAAAGGGAATTTATGTAATACCGTCTGCTTTAAATTCTTTTTGTAAGTACTGCTAAATTTATGCATGACAAGTTACATTTAATACATTTAAAATTTAGCATGTATTTTCTGTGATAATCCTAATTTGTAATATTATTGCTTTGGAATTAGAACAGCTAACGCTATTTTATGACTCATAGAAAGACAGAGAAGAAGAATAAATATCCTTCGTTCTTTATTTCTTAGTCCATATTTGAAATTTTGTTTTATTGAAACGTCAGTATGTTTTTGATAGGTGTAAACCTATTTTATAGGTCTTGCTCATCCCGATTACAACTTGTATAATGGTTCTGATGTAAATATATCCATATCTCTTCGCTCTTTCATTTGAATGTAGTTAAGGTGACTATTTTGAAAAGCTCTAATATATATGTTATTTCTAAACATTTTGCCACAGTATGGTTTGGTGTACAATTCATTCGGCAAGGGATCTACAAAGGCGGAGTTTTCAGGTTCACTATTACATTGCCCCCAAACTTTCCACTTGGAGATTGCCCTGTAAGAATACTGAATCGCAAATAATCAATCTTATATATATATATACGTGTAAAACCTATAATAGCCTGAAATATATTTTAGAAAGTTGTGTTTGAAACTCAAGTTTTCCATCCATTGATAAATCCAGAAAATGGAGAATTGTGCACATCATGGGGATTTCCTGAATGGAGAAGAAATAACAGAATTTGGCAATTGATACAATATATCACGAAAGTATTTATTAAACTAGATCCAAAAATGACTCCAATTAATCAGGAAGCATCTAGCTTGTAAGTACAATTGTTATTTGCTTTGCATACAAGAGATATATTCAAAGAAATAGTGAAAAGAATGTGTCATCCCCAGAATTTCTTTTTTACATACAAATTGGCGAAATTACAGACAAGAAAGTAATCTTGAGGCTTTCCGAGAACGTGTGAAAACTTGCGTGAAGGCAAGCGTAAATCAAGTATTTGATCCACCTACCATGGACGATCCGCATTATATTACATTCACTCGATATGTGAATGAAGTGCATGATCCCATTAAACGAGAAATTTACGAACCAAAGGTAAATAAATACTTGAGAATCACACTTATCATGGTAAAACACATTAAATTTAAGAATTTTCTCATCAGTCTATTGTATTTTATAGAGCGAAGATGAAAATAAGCCATTGGGTTTGTCATGGGTACAACCTGGCTCTCTTCAACCATTTTCAAAACCAGAAGCTAGATAATAACAGAGTTTAAAATTCAAATGCTGACAAATAGTGAAATAACATACGTCCTTAAGAGCTGTATAAGGAAATTATTGCTCTCTTGGCAATCAATATAGATACAAACTTATTAATATTACTATTTTTCTATTCAAAGATTATATATATGCCTTAAAATTTTATATGAATCTATGTGTTAAGTGACTGCTGTATAGAACAAATTAGAATATATGCTCTTGTAGTTTTTAATAAAAAGAGATTAACATATATTTGTGTGTTCAAATATGAATATATATATTAAGAATGTCTAAATTATTTAATATTGAGAATATCTAAAAAAAGTGTTTAATATTGATTGTGACAAACATGTTATATATGTATAATACACATATTTTTTTAAAGATCATTAATATAAGAATTTAGGAAAAGAAGAGAACGAAAGCGAAATATTGTACAGCTTACAAACTTTTCAAATTGAGCGCTATTTTACGCTGGACCGTTCTGCTTGCGAGGATACGTTCCCCAAGTTTTTATCCTCCCCCCTCTTTCTTTACGTCGTCATAGGAATCCGGCTTTACGTAGCTAACAAATCTCGCTCAATTGAAATCGCGACCGTCACCGAGAAGAGAAATAACGTATGTACATCTCGCGATAAAAATCCGTGGAATTTGCGTTATTGCGCAACAATTTCGCAATCCCAGCTGTCGAGTAGGACTCGTGCAAATTGTATTTTACTACCGGCACACGCCCGAAGCCGCTTCCGCCGCGCCACCCGGAATTATGAGCTGCAGCGATCTTAACCTTTAATGACAGCCCCACAGATTCAGGTAATTATTCCATTACATCTGACACGCGATAAGCAAAGAATCTCACACGCGAGAGTCGCTTCCTGCTCCGAGTTCACGTTCAGGATAACGTCGCGAAAGTTTCTCGACGTCCTACGGCTAGAGAATCTTGAGCAGCATGTGTCCTTTTGCGCTACAGATACACACCTATATAAAGATGAAATACGATGAGAAAACAATCTCCGTGCTGGTCAATATTATGATGATCTTATCGCGTTAAGTAATATTTCACTGATAATATTTCGTTTGTAGTTATGACATTGTGATTGCGGACATAATATTATGGTTGATAAAATTATTGTGCAATATTATGACGCATATAGAGACTGCTTAATTAAACAATATGAAACATATTGTACGCTAATATAGATTTGAATTTAATCTAAATCGTGTATGAGAGATTTACTTTATCTATATATAAATGTTTAGAATAGTTGTAGCTTTTAATTATATATGAATATAATGTTTTAGGTCGCATAAAGAGCCTTAAAATGCAGACGATAAAATGTGTTGTGGTAGGTGATGGAGCGGTTGGTAAAACATGTCTCTTGATTTCCTACACAACAAATAAATTTCCTTCTGAGTATGTGCCTACTGTTTTTGACAATTATGCAGTAACTGTGATGATAGGAGGTGACCCATATACATTAGGATTATTTGATACAGCAGGTAAGAAGTTTTTTTCTTTTTGTATTATTTCTTCAAAGACAATTTAGCTTGCTTGTAATCTAATTCAAACTTTTTGTTTCTTAGGTCAAGAAGATTATGATAGATTGCGTCCTTTAAGTTATCCTCAGACCGATGTATTTCTCGTGTGTTTCTCAGTTGTATCGCCATCATCATTCGAAAATGTAAAAGAAAAGGTGATATATCGTCTATTATTGTTTATTATTTTTACATATATGAGCTTTAATTCAAATTCTAATATGATAATATATTTTCTTGTAGTGGGTGCCTGAAATAACGCATCACTGTCAGAGAACTCCATTTCTACTTGTCGGAACACAAATCGATTTGAGAGATGATGTCGCAACAACAGAAAAGCTTGCAAAAAATAAGCAAAAGCCAATATCTGGAGAGCAGGGCGAGAAACTTGCCAAGGAACTCAAGGCTGTAAAATATGTAGAGTGCAGTGCTCTAACACAGGTAAAAAAAAAAATTAAAATTTTATAGTTTTATCAAAAATATTTTGTTGTTTAAATATTATGTAAGAGATTTAGCAAGATCCTTTTTCATTTAAACTTTAAAAAAGAAATAATTTTTTATAGACATTTATATTTCTCTTTGATTAAAATAAAAGAATATTTATTAGATTCTAATTATATTAGTAATATTTAACACTTTATGTAACATTATGTTTCTATTGACATTCTAGAAAGGTTTGAAGAATGTATTCGACGAAGCTATTTTGGCCGCATTGGAACCGCCCGAACCAGTGAAGAAAAGAAAGTGTACGCTTCTGTAAGCCGACGAAGAGTTATCATTGAAGGAACGCATGCCAGACATCAAAATAACGCTACGTAGTACCAGACGACAGTCTTGTATGTAGTATATTGTATTAAATAGAACTAAATTTGCCTCTATACTTCGTAACCCGAGGGAAGAACAAGCAATCGCGTAAGCGCCAGCTATGACAGCGACTGCAAACACATTCCATGAGGCGTGCAACAACGACTCTGAATTTGTAAGGTCAAAGAAAATTTTTCTATCATACAATAATAGCTATCTTTTTGAGATAACTTATTGCACAAAGCTTTCATTTTCCCGACACGATTTTCTAGGCGGCGCAAAATTTTGAAGCGCGTCTGAAAATTTTCTAAGATAAAGTTTTAAAACCATTCTAAAATCGTTGACTATTGACGTTTATTATTCAATAGGACAGAGGCGGAGAAACAGAGAGAGATTGGTGCTATTGTTCAATAATATTTTTTTAAGTCGAAATATTTACCGAGATATATATAGACATCTGAGTCGTCGATATCTGATAGAATAGTCATTTGGATTAATAAGGTATTCAAGCATCTTTCGCTAAAATGACGATCATTTTTTCCGATACGTATAAAAATAAAATTTTCGTTTTTAACGATGTCAGTATTAGGAACTCTGATGAATGTATAAAACGATAAATCATAGCAGTATCATTATG